ACAGATCTGTGTTGGAAGAAGTGCAGCCAGAGTGCTCCTTGGAGGCCAGGATGGCCAAACTTCATCTCTCATACTTTGGACATATTGTCAGGTAGGACCAGTCACTGGAGAAGGATATCATGCTTGGTAAGGCAGAGGGTTAGAGAAAAAGAGGAAGACCCCCAGTGAGATGGATTGGCTAAGTGGCAGCATCAATGGATTAAAGCATGGCAATAGTAGTGAGGTTGGTCCAGGTTTGGGCAGTGTTTCATTCTTTTATGCATTGGGTTGTTATGAATCGGTACCGACTTGATGGCACCTAACAACAACAAACATTCAGCAGTAGTTTGCCACTCCTTATTCCTAGTTTATGTAAGTCTGGAAGCGCCTCTGAAACCTGTGTACCATGGGTGAGTCTGTTGGTATTTAAAATACCGGTAGCATGGATCCAGCATCCCAGCGTCAACCAAGCTGCCACAGTGAGACACATTGACATGGCTGAGTAGTGGTAGGAGCTCATGACATGTTGCCTGATCATGAAATCAAAGTGGAAGCCCCCAGATTCTGCCTGAGGAAACAACTGCTTCCACCTTTTCCTTGTCTGGGATAGCTCCTGCCTATCCCTAACCTTCCATGGAGAAAGGTGAGGGAAGGGAGCCAGAGAGATAGAGACACACAGAACTGAAATTAAGAGACACCAAGACAGAGATTGATGGGGAGATACAGAGACAGACAGACAGACACGGAGACAGGAAGACATAGACTCACACACAGAGAGAGAAACAGAGACAGAAAGAAAGAGACAGAAACAAACACACAGAGAGCCAGAGATAGGCCAGGGAGCCAGGGTGAAGCAGTCATCTGGGAATGAACCTATCACCACCCTCCTAGATTCCAAACTCACAATTCCGTGAGCAAGACAAACAGTGGGGCTACGGAACCTTCGGGTTTGGTGATGGTTTGTTGTGGAGCAAGGGATCCTGAGAAGCAGCACCACACAGCAGACAGACACACGTGACGATGAAAGTCAGGGACAGTCGTGGGCCTGCTGCTGCTCCTTACACTGCGGTCATACTGGTCTGTGCACCCAGAGGTGGGGCTGTGCTTCAGGCCCGACTCTGCTGAGTGGGACCTCCGGCCAACTCGACATTCTGGGGGTGTGGGCTACCAAGGTGGGTTTCGGAGGGAAGTGCACCCCCCTCTTTCCTGTCGGACCTTCCCACATTGGGTCCAGCACAGGATCCGGACAGCGTGGCCCCACCTCCACAGTCCAGCGAGTGGGTGAGGGGAGCCGTCCAGCGCACTGAGACCCGGGTCCCGGGAGGGCAGCTTGGCAGGGCGGTGAACACATGTGACTCTTGGAATCATTTTGAGTTATGGTGAGTCCAGGAAGGAGCCTGGAGGGGAGATGTGGATGTGGATCTGGACCTGCTGAACCATGGGTGTTGCTGCCTCTGCTGATCTCTCTTCCTTCTCTGTCCTCCGTCGCAGGCCTTCCAGGCCGACTGGCCGCTGTGTGTCCGCGGGGAGGTGGTGGTGCCGCTGGTGGACCTCTGCGGAGTCCGGCTTAGGACCGAGGACTTGTAACTGCACGTGACGGCTAGGCGGTAGCACAGGGCTAGGCTGGTCCTGACATGCCTCATCCAGCGAGCAGGGAACAGAGCACATTACTGCCCCTGAGGCCATGTATGGCTGGCTCTTTACAAGAGAGTTTCTGGAGGTGGTGAGCGCTGAGCGGGACAGTGTCCCCCTGCAGAGCTGCCTGCTGACCACCAGCACTGCCGTCTACCGCAGCCCATGGGGCAGAGGCACGGACCCCACCTCCGTCTTGCAGGGCTGCCCACACCCTGAGCATCCACGTCTCTACAGTGCCGGGGAGGGCCAGACCCCGGCCATGGCAAGCCCCTGGATCCGGCAGGACACCTCGACTCTGCAGTCTCCATGTGGGTGCCCTGGCGGAGGACCCACAACTCCTCGCGAGAGGTCAGGTGGAGACATGGACATGGAAGGGCCAGAAGTGGGGCTGAGGCCCATGGATGGAAGGGGCAGCCCCGAGGCCTTCTACACGGGTGGACGCAGCCCGGGCACTAGGGGGCGCTGGTTCCGGAAGTCGTACGTCGAGGCCCTGCGCAATCCCGTGCTCCTGGGCTCCAGCTCCGAGGAGTCTCTTCTGGATGAGGTTGGGGACAAAGCGGCCGGACACCTGGCCCAAGGCAGCAGGTCTCTGGTGGCCACTAACCCGGTGCAGAGGGAGCTGGCAAGCCCGCGGAGCCCCCGCGAGAGCCACCGGCCCACAGACAGGGCAAGGATGACGTCCAGGAGGTCAAGGTCCTGGGACAAGCCCCTCAGGAACCCCCTCAGCAAGAAGCCTGGTGATCCGGCAAGTGTCCGGTCTGAGGGTCTCTCCAGAGGTCAGGCTGCAGGGACCGAGAGCTCCCCAGAAGGTAATGCTCACAGCCCACCCCTGCGCGCTGGCCGCGTTCAGGGAAGCCGTGGTTTTGAGTCCACGTGGATTTGGTGAGACGGTGTTGCACTGATGATCCTCCGAGCGGCAGTGTCCAGACCCCCAGTAGTAACTCGGAGTTCCTTCTTAACTGGATCGCACCGGTGCCGCTAACGTTCCCCCCGGGACCCTGTTATTTCTATGTATTTACCTTGGCCTTATGCTGAATGGTCACCTTCAGAACAAAGAGAAAGGTCCCCGATGGCCTGTTGCTTTCTCTTTTTATATGCTATGCACTGTGTTAAGAGCTTTATTACATTATCTCATTTAATTGGAAAACAGCCGTATGGGGGTATTGCCTCTCTTTTCTTTTTTACTTGTTGTGAATTTACTGAAGGTTCATAGAATAGATCGGATTTCCATACACGTTTTGTTGACTGCAGTCCCCCAAATGCAACATCATTCATCCCACTGCCACCCTATGTTCCCTATTTGATTCCTCTTTCTTTCATCTTTTGTACTTTATCCTTGAGTATAATCTAAGGGGTTCATACCTCCCTAACGTTATTGCTCCCCTCCGAGACCTGTTTATTGTTTCTCTTAGAGATCTGGATTTTGTTCCCCATAGACACCTGTGTGTAGTTCCTTTAGACACCTGTCTGTTGTTTACCTTAGAGATCTGTTTCTCTCTTTGGCAGCTTCAGTCGTTATCGGCACAGACAGCAGCAGTTCCCAGGGCCCAGGACCCACCCGCTTCTCTGACATGCCCCTCAAGCTGCCATGCCCTGAGGACCCTGGAAACTCTGAACTTGGGATGCCTGGCCAGATGCTGGGTGTCAGCCTGGTACTGCTGCAGTTGGGGGCTGTAATCCTGCCAGGTAAGTCACATTGTGTCTCGAGGACCCTATCCCAGGAGTGCAGCCACACTTAGGATGCCCCTCTTTCCCTTCAGGAACCCGGGACTACGGCGGCCGGGCAGTTGTACAGGTGTGCATGGGAGGACCCCTCTGGACCAGGGAGCATGCCTCGAGCACCGAGCTAATCCGCCTCCTATTGTACCTGCACAGCATCCCCAGGTGGGACCCGTGTGGGCTTGGGCCTCTTTCAGCTCAGACCGTCTGTGTCTTGATGTGATCCGTCATGTGTTACAGGATTCACCTGTGTGAACAGTCCCAATGGGTCGGGGTCTGCCGTCTGAGCAGTGGGCCCACTGGCTGGCTCAGGATGACGGTGGGACCCACCACGCTGGCCCCTCTGTTCCTGCCCTCCAGGTCTCCTGGCCCCCTAACATGTTCCTCCAGCTCACTCTGTATCCCTCCGCTGGTGCCGGACCATGATTGATTGGACATTGCTATGCATTACCTAGTTGCTGCTTCATTGTTGCTGGTTTGAGCGCTTATACTTTATACTCTCTTTCATTTAAAAAGGAGCCCTGGTGGTACAATGGTTGAAGTACTTCAACAGTGGTTGAAGGTCAGTGGTTTGAATCAACTAGATAACTCAGCAAGAGAAAGACGAGACAGTCTACTTGTGTAAAGATTTACACCCTCAGATTTCATACGGGGCAGTCCTATAGAGTTGCTGTGACTCCAAATTGTCTTGATGGCAGTGGATTTGGTTTGTTTTTTAAAAGGTGCTATAATTGGACCACTTAAAATGGGGCTACAATGTGCCCAGTGAAGGAGACTCCCTGCGGAGCCTCTGCAATGCATAAGACTATAGGTGGAAGCCTGAACCACATCCAGATCTCCAGAGATGGGAAATTCCCACTTGAAAGGACGAGCAGACCAGCCTGGAACAGCTAGAAGAATAGAAGATACTTCTTGAAAGAAAGACCTACAGGAAAAATACAAAACAATAGAGGCAGACTGACTGTTACTACAAGAACTACTACAAGAACAAACAAGTTGCTTGCCCAGGAAACATCAAGGCAAGTGGTTGGGTCCCCTCAGTGCAAACCCCCTTCCAAGACTAAGACTCAATGGGAATACTTGCTCTGATTGGTGACCACGCTCGACACCGATAAGGGGAAATGAGGGAAAAACAACAATGAAGTGGCGAGCTAAGCCTTACAATGTGAAGAGTGAAGCGTTCAGCTGATAAGAAGAGAGGGCATATGCACAAGAACACCCACACTTGCAGATAATACCCACTTGACCTGGCTTCAATGACTGGATGATCAGAGCTCAACCAGAAGAAGAAAGAAGAGGAAAAAAAGAGTAATCTGATGCAATTTGATGAACTTGACCTACACCTATGGAAGCAGTAGGTCAAAAGGGGGAACAAATTCTTACAGCAAGAGTCATTTCTACTCTACACACAGAGTAGACAGGGATGGGCAACTTTGACATTGGCTACCCAAAATGGGGGTGGGGGTGGGGGTAGGGCTACAAGGCAAGAAGTGACTGGCTTACAAACTTTCATGAAGGAACCTAGAGACGGGGCCTGGAGGAAGGTAGAATCTCCAGTGAGTAGCATCCAATCTGCCTAGGCAGAGTTGATGAAATGAAATGCGGATAGGTCTCTTGTGATATAATAGTGAATAATTGTTATCAGGACTGATTGTGAAGGTTGGAAATGTAAAGGTAGACATTTTATAACAAGGAAGGAAGTGATTAACTTTTCAGTCTAGGAGCGGAGGTCCCTAGAACCATCAACGGAGAAGAGCCGAGAGCGGGACCCTACCCAGAGAAACAGTGATGCCTGAGATGGAGGCAGAGACAATGACGTGGAGGGACGGAGCAGCTGGGGGCTTTAGATTCAGAGAGGGAGAGCAACTGTGTGCTGAAGACTGGGGGTGGGGGATGGGGGTGGAATAGTGTAGGGGGCAGGCTTGCAGGGTACATCCTTTGGTTGGTTGCTGATGCATGGAGGGGATTGTAACCATGGCAATGATACAATGTATGATAGAATAGAATGAATGTAAAACTAATGTTCTCCCATGTAAACTATTATATAATTCACAATAAAACACTTAAAAAAAAAAAAAAGGTGTGCTATAGCCTTGAGTGGAAACATGAGGGGACATTGCAGGCTGTTCAGAATGAAATGTGACGTGACCACACAGACCTGAGCTGCAAGGTGTGATGTGAGGACATCCTAAAGACATGAGCTATGTGGTGTGATGTTAGGAGAACATACAGACATGAGCTGAGTGAAGTGCTGTGAGGAGACCATAGAGACATATCTGTGTGGTGTGGTGTGATGATATAGTCATGCAGACATGTGTTCTATGGTGCCATGTGAGGAGACCATACCGACATAGCTGTGTGGTGTGATGAGACATGCAGACATGTGTTCTATGGTGCCATGTGAGGAGACCATACAGACATAGCTGTGTGGTGTGATGAGATCATACAGACATGTAGACATGTGCTCTATGGTGCCATGTGAGGAGACCATACAGACATACCTGTGTGGTGTGACAAGATCATAGACATACATACATGTTCTCTATGCTGCTATGTGAGGAGACCATGCAAACATACCTGTGTGGTGCCATGTTAGGAGTTCATATAGGATCATGGGGCATCTGTCTGGCACCCTCATTTCTGCTCATTCAGGAATGAACCCTGAGTTGAGATTCACATACTGTTGCCTCCTGAGGACGAAGCGCATGCCACCTGGTCCCTGTGTGGCACGTGGCCTCTCTACAAGCGATTCCAGGGGCAGCTGGCTGGGTGACCTTTTCCCAGGCTTTGGTGTCAGCTGCTCCCATGTACCCAGTACTGTCGAGTTGAGGGAGGTTACAGGTGTCAGTGGGCCTTCCCATCCATCAGACATTCAGAGGGTCTGAGTAGGGTGTGGGCCTCACTTGATTGGTCAGTGGTGATAATAGCATTTCAAAGTTTTTTAAAGGCTTAGAATGAGCTATGCAAGGTACCAGCACTTGGTCTATGAAGTACTGTGGTACACGGTACATCACGCATGATGGGATTTCTTTCCAGGACGTGTTACATGCTGTATGGTCATATCACATGACTTCAAGAGAGAGCTTATTTCACGAAACATCAAACATGATGTGATTTTGTTCTAGGACATATTATGTGGTAGATCATCATATCACATGATATCATGGGAGGGTACATTATATAACAGACCACACATGATGTGATTTTGTTCTAGGACATATTACTTGGTGTGGCACTATAGGATAAGCATTGGACTGCTAATTATAGGGTCAGTGGTTCAAATCCACCAGCTGCTCCTTAGAAACCCTATACCCGGTCACTATGAGTTGGAACTGACTTGATGACACTTAACAATAATAACATCATCACATCATGTGATATCATGAAAGAGCATGTTACATGATACACTACACATGATGTGATTTCATTCCAGGACATGCATGTGTTACCTTGTCAGCATATTACATGATATGCCATCAGGTTACATGATCTTATTGAAAGACATTACATGATACACCATGTCATTTATCTCATGCTCTTTGACTTTCAATTTAAATTTCTGACATAGTACAGGTAGAATCAATGCGGGGACATTTAGGCTGAGAAGGAATAATGGTACTGTACACACTCCTTCCCCGGGGTATGGCCCCTAGTTATCAGGCAGATGGACACTGGTTTTACTGCCCCAAGTGAGTCTGGGATTGCAAAATCAAATGGAACCACTCTGAAAAAAATAGATTTCACCCTCACATTGGATTGTCCATAGTAAGCTCTGGTCTAGGATAATGACATTTTTGGTTCCTAAAAGCGTTTTTTATGAGAGCCTACAGAACTGATTATGCTATGATGGAGACCCACCCCCAAGAGAGGTGAGCTGCTTGCTCTGTGGTCCTCCCTTAAGCAAAGCCACCAGCAGATGAGATGGAGGAGGGAGATGTTCCTGTCGCTGGCAGTGGATAGGGATGCTCGGAGACACAGCTGGCCTCCGCAGTGCCTCGCTGTTCTGCACGACAGCTCTGTGCATTTAGAGGAAATCGTCTTCTCGGCTTTCTGGAGGCAGCCCCTAACACTCAGATACAATGACTGGTGTGATAGCAGAAGTGGAGCGGGGACCACCAGGGGTAGATTGTCAAGGGAGGGCAGGCACGGTCCGGGAGCAGCATCCACCCTCACTGCCATTCATCACGGGCACCTGGTCCTGCAGAAACCCCAGGACCTGGGTGGACACTAGCCTCAGAAGGTGGGGACTTGCACCCCAGGTCCTGACCATGGTGTGGACCTCATTGGCTGAATGGCAGGTTTTGCAGGCAGAGAAGTCCCGAAGCAAAGACCCGTGAATGTGAAGAGGGAGCACACCATCTGCCGCAACAAGCAACCAGTCTTATTTCTAGAAACCATTCCATGTCCTCAATACATTGGTCTCCCCCAAGAGGCACACCCATTTTTGACGTAGTCTTCAAGTCACCCTCAGCAACTCTCCTCTCTGGCTTGGTGGCACATAGGGTCACTCCCTCCAATGACCCCAGGGCACCTAGAGATCTACAAGAGGGAATGTTGTGATTCCATCCAGGCTCACAGTTCTTGTGTCCCCATTACGATTGGCATGTAGAGATGCAGTTTGTGTAGAATATTAATCATGGGAGCTAGAATGAAGGTGTTTCCAAGGAAAATGAAAACTTTGGAAAAATGAAAATATCTGGTCATCCTTGTTAAGTGCCACACCCGTTTCTGTCCTGTTTAATTTAGAACAGAAACTTCCTATCCCAATCACTATCAAAGCCAGGCTTGGAAACGGATTTTCAGACCTGTTGGCACTTCCGTGTTCAGAAGGTGTTTTGAAGTCTCCAGAGTGTCAGCTCTGGACATAGTGAGCCCCATGGTGGGTCTCAGCCTCTGTCTGAGAAACAGGCACCCCATTATCTTCCCATCCCTCTTCAGAATTAACTTTCATTTTGATGCTAAAAGCAGAACAACAGTGATGCAAGGGCATGTGGGGCCTTTTCTTCCGTGGTGGGCAGTTGAGGTAGAAGGGCCATTTTGTGCTTGCTGGCACATCTGTGGCATCAGAAGGCAGTCACAACAGTGGGTCTGAGGGCAGTGGGTTACACAAAGAGTGATTTCTCTGTCTCTAGCTGATGAGAACTGACCTAGGACAGAGTAGGGAGCCCCCGACCTCAGAGGCATAGGGACCTCAGTGGTCACAGTTCCCTAAGAGACCCAAGTTTCATATTCATGGACATGTATGTCTCTCTCTGCAGGAAGGAGGTGCAGGACCTGGGGCTGGTCATCCTGGTGGACGCACGGAAGGGTCCGATCACCCCTGCTCTCTCCCAGGCCCTCATGGCCCTTCAGGTGAGGCAGGGTCCTGGTTGTACAGGGTCTGTGGGTGCCCTGAGGATTAACATTTAAGCGTGTTGTACTTTAAGAGGGAGAGAGAAGCAAAGGATCCTGGCTCCAGCTAGTCCCCAACCCCTATTGTTCCAGAGCATCTGTTGTCTGTCCTCTGGCTGTCTGAGGGTCATGCTCTGGAATGCTATGAAGTCTTAAAGCCAGCCAGGACTATGCATATGGGTGCTGTGATCTCATTTTGTGTTTGAATCAATCGGGGTGCAGAAGCACTCAAGTCCCCTCAAAGACAGGACAGTCATGGATGAGGGGTTTGGCCACTGTGTTTCCACTTCCATGGGCCATGTGGAATGTTCTGGTTCCTATTAGCCATGTGTGCACAGACCTTGTAGGGTCAAGCCGTACTGAAGTATAGGGTCTCCATGGGGGTCAAAGAGCTCTGTGAGACCCGATGTCTTAGCTGTCTCCCTCAAAGCCCAGAGAGCCCTAGACATCCTTCTCCCTGTTGCCCCTTTCCCCCGTGAAGCTGAAGGTCATTTCCTCTGCTCTATTTTGGCAGGACTCTGGATCACCACATGGGGTTTTGGCCCAGGAAAGACTTGGGTAGAGTCATGGGCTGACTCATGTCCTATATAATGTAACCTTGACTAGGCCACAATTCTCATTGGTTTGACAGCCGTGTAATGATGCAATGTGGCCCTTATGTAATGAAGGGTGTCATTACCCCCACGACGTCATTGATGTCATCAGGAATCAGTTTTAAAGGTGTGATGCCATACCCTTACTCTGTTCATGACACTAGTCTGATGTAAGAAGAGTTTCCCTGGGATGTGGCCGGTCTCAGCTTTTATTTCACACAAGAAACATGGAGATCTCCAAGGAACTCCAGGCCCATAGGTGTGGAGAGGAAACAAGGACCTTCCCCCAGAGCCAAGAGAGACAGAAAGTCTACCCCTAGAGCTGGTGCATTGAATTTGTACTTCTAGTCTCTTACACTGTGAGAGGACATATTTTTTTTGTAAAGTTATCCATTTGTGGTATTTCTGTTAGAGCAGCACTAGAAACTGAGAATTTGATGCCAGGAATGGGGTGCTGCTCTAACAGATCCCTAAATATGGAAGCAGTCTTGGAATCAGATAATGAGTAGAGGCTGGAAGTGATTTAAGGTCCTAATAATAAAAAGAATAGAAAAACCACAAAAAAAAAAGTATTTAAAAAACGTAAAAGGGAGGGGTGGGACTTGATGGCAGATTAGGGAGAGTCACTGTACAGACCTCCAACAGCAATAACACAGAATACCAGATGAAGCAGGTTCAGGGGACGGTCCCGGAACTCTGAACTACATCTCAAGGAATATTTAAAAGTATCAAAGGCTTACTGCTAGTGGAATTTGTAGCAGAAGCAAGAAAGGTGGTGTTTTCTGAAGTGCACCTACTGGTGGGTCCTGGAGTGGCCATCTTCAGTGGGACAGAGCAGAGCAGATGCAGGATCAAGGGAGTGCTCCCTTCACAGGTGTCTGGCTGATAGAGATCTTAAAGGTGTGAACTTTTTTTTCCCCCGTTCATTTGTCTCTCTCTCTGTTTTTCTATCTCCACTCTGGTGACTATAGGGGTACCTGAGCAGGTGACCACCCCCACCCCTACCCTTGGAGGGTTCTACTACACAAGTGCGCAGATATGCTCAGCTAAGATCACTAGACCCAGAATCAAAGAAGGGGGAGGAATCAACAGAAGCAGATTAAAATGGAAGGGTCTTCCACACGGCTCTGGCCAGGCCTGGGCTGTATCTCACTAGGAGAAACACCTAAATGGGCCTGAGGAGAGGTGAGAGAGACAGGCAAAAAAAGGAAAGAGGCTGAAAATTAAATCTTGAGTTACGTCATAAGGAGGAACGGTAACATCTTGAAAATGTTCAGGTGGCCTTGAAGGCAAGAAGCCAAAAAAGGGACATTAAAGACTTCCTTATATTTTGCTACAGGGTTTTCTTTTCTTTTTTTCCCCCCTGTGGCGATTATAGACTTTAGTATCCAATCTGCTTTTGTTTTTATTGTTGTTATTGTTTTGTTTATTTTGTTTAGTTTTTGGTCTCCCTTATGCCTTGTGGAGGCTCTTTCTCTCCCTACATTATCCAAGAAGAGACAGCAATTGTGGTCATATAGCTAAGCTAAAATCACACCCTAAAAAATCCCACCATCTGAGCTGCTATACCCCAAATAGATAGCCAACAAATGCTAAAATTACTCTGAACTGAGTAATAGAAATGAAAAGGGAAGCCCATCTCCTGATCACATCTACCAGGAGGGAATCAGAAACCTTAATAATACACCAACATACACTTACCTAATTATTGAAAATGCCTTAAAACACACACACACACACACCTAGAAAATCTCAGCATATGTCCAGAAACAAGACAGAATAGCTGAAACAAATGAGCTGGAGGTAGACCTAGAATTCCCATTGGAAGATGGGAGATTGATATTGAGGATTTTGATATTGATCATTCAGGAGAATGATATTGAGGTGCATCCAAATGCTCCACAGAGGCGTTGAGAAAAATAAGGAAAAAGTCAGGAAAGTGCTACAGGAACAATCAAATAAGATAGAAATAGCATTGGAAACAATTCAAAACCTGAACAAAGAGGTCCAAATGATTAACAATATAATATCAGAAATGGAAAATAAAATGATAGGGCAAAAGAGTAGAACTGAACAGATGGAAGCCAGAACCAGTGAGCATGAAGACAAATCTCTCAACACTGCTAAGGTATAAGAGCAAGCAGAAAAGAGAACAGAAAAATCTGAAGAGAGTTCAAGATTCATGTGGGACAACATGAAGAGGAATAACCTGAGGGTTATTGGAGTTCTGGAACAGAAAGAATCACAGAAGATCCCAGAGGAGATAGTTGAAGAGCTTCTGGAAGAAAACTTCCCTAGCATCCTTAAAGACAAAAAGATAAGCATTCCAGAAGCTGTACAAACCCCAGGAAGGATAGACCCCAAAAGAAAAACACCAAGATATATCATAATCAAACTCTCCAAAATCAAAGACAAGGAGAGAATCCTGAAAGCAGCCAGGGAAAAGAGAAGTGTTACTTACAAAGACAAGCAAATAAGATTAAGCTCTGATCTCTCACAAGAAACCATACAGGCAAGAAGGCAATAGGGAGGGGAGAGGTGTTTAGTTTGGGTGTTAGGGAAGGCAATACAAGAAGGGGAAGGAGGTGGAAGAATAAGATAGATAGGGGAACACTGAGACAGGTTTGCATGGTCTAAGTGGGACAGAGGTAAATAGTGATGCATGCTCAACCTTGGAACAACAGGGGTCTGTGATACAGAGATCTAGGCATAGTTTGAAGAGGGGAAATAATACTAAAATGTTTGACTTTCTTATGAATATTGGTTTCCCTTGCCTACTATTGTAAAATAGAAACTTGAGTGGCATAGAAAGGAATGTTGGAAAACATGATTACAGAAAACGTGTAAGCCCATCTTCAGCCTATAACTGATTGGAATACCTAAAAGGGGTTCTAGAACTTGCCTAGTGAAATAGACCTCTTGCAAAGCCTTTGCAGAGTATAGAACCTCAGGTGGAATCCTGAGACCCTTCCAGAACCTTCTGAGGTGGGACATTCCCACTAGCAACGACAAGCAGACCAGCCTAGAACAGCTAGAGCAACAGAAGATACATCTTCAAAGAAAGACCATCAGGAAAAATCCAAAACAAAAACGTCAGCTTGACTGGTTACTACAAGAATAAACAAGCAATCAAGTTCCTTCAGGAAAAGCTCCCGTCTGAGATTGAAACTCAAAGGGAACGCATGAACAGGCCTGTAAGCTTGCTGGCGACCACATTGGTCTACTGGTGAGTGCAAGAGGGGGAAAGGCATCAATGAAGAAATGGGCTGAGTTCAACCACAGTCCATTGACTCCCGTTGACCTGGAGATGAGAAAGAGAAGAGGAAGGGCTGGTTGGTCCAAAGTGTAGTCAGAACTGGGGACACCTGAGCCCATGGACAAGGACATAACCACAGAGGGCTAGAGCTGTAGTGAAATGTCCAGCTAATATAAAGTGAGGGGAGATGCACAAGAACACCCAAACTTGCAGACAGTACCCATTTGACCTAGCCTCGGTGGCTTGATAATCAGAACTCAACTAGAGGAAGATTACCAAAAAAAATATTTTTTTTTGGATAAAGGAAACAAGGGTAAATTGCTACAATTTGATGAACCTGACCTATACTCATGGAGGTAGTAACTCTAAATACCAACAGAGAGAAGGAGTCGTTTCATATCAAATATCAATGTTATCCACTCTGTACACAGGGTAGATAGGGACAGACAACTTAGACATAGGCTACCTAAAATGAGGGGGCAATGAAGGCATGAAATGACTGGCTTACAAGGTTTCAAGAGGGAGTATAGTTTAAGAGTGTTTGGGGGTGGGGAGAAAGAGTCCCCACTGAAGTTTTCATCTAGATGGGTCTGGTGAAAATGGATTGGGATAAGATTCGTATGATTCAATAGTGAATAATTGTCATCATGACTAATTGCAGCTGTCACCATTGTAAAGGTAGAAGTTTTGTAACAAAAACAGAGGAGTGGTTAATCTTACAGTCCAGAAACAGAGGACCCTAGGACCATCAAGGGAGAAGTGCACAGCAGAATGCGGGACCTTACCCAGAGAAGCAGTGACACCAGAGATGAAGGCAGTGATGGGGACATGGAGAGGGGGAGCGGCTGAGGACTCTAGATTCATGGGAAGAGAGTGACTAAGAGTGGCCAGGAGGCAGACTTGCAGAATGTTGCCTTTAGAGGTGTAAATTATTATTTATGCCTGAGTTGGGTTTTTTGTTGTTGTTTTATATTTTTTTAAAAGAAAGCTAACGTGAATAGAGAGAAATACTGTTAACTGATGGCACATGGAGGGGATTATAATCATTGTAATGAAACAAGGTGTATGATTTGTTCAATGTAAAAGTGATGATATGTCCTGTAAACGTTCAC